ACGCGAGGGAGAGCGGGGGGGGGGTGTCATCTGGTCCTCTAGAGCCTGCAACTGGTATTCCAGCCCTCTTGGAAAGTCCTTTTACTTGAATGGAGGCAGCCGAGCACAAGGACTGCTTTCGTGACGGTCATGCCCGCTTTCCTGGAAAACGTGGCAGGTGGCGGGGAAGCCCATGACGGAGAAACTCCAAAGCCACATGTTTTTGTTCACTCTTGTAACGGGACTTCCTTCCCTCCTAGCCCCACGGGGCCACGATCCGCCTAGAAATGCAGTGCTGGAGCGCTTCAAAGGCTTGGCATTCCCGCATTCCAACGAAATGATGAAGATATTTCACAAAAGGTTTGGCCTCCACCACTTCCGAGTGAATCAGCTGGAGGCCATCAATGCCGCTCTGTTGAATGAAGACTGTTTCATCTTGATGCCTACAGGTGGGTGTGTCCGGGAGAGCTGCCTTGGGGACAGGAAGTGGGCGAGGGGGTGAGGAGGCACCCCGGTTGGCTGCCAGGGGAGGTCTGGGATGCAGGGTGGGGGTGGGGGAGGCGGTTCTTCCAAATGGAGCTTCTGTGCCTGAAGAGGGGGTGAGATGCTGTGACCTGCACAGTTCAGAATTCAGAGCCCGTATCATGCGTGGTGCTCTGTAATGCGTAATGCAAGATAGATAGCAAAGTCCAGGACTTGGATATTGGCAGTCAGTAAACCAGCTGACTTGAGCTGCAGTGGCGCTCAAGTGGTTAAGATGCTGAACTGCAGACTGGAAGGTTGGTAGTTCAGCAGTTCGAGACCCAAGTGCCGCATGGCGGAGTGAGCTCCTGTCTCTGGTCCCAGCTGCCTACCTAGCGGTTCGAAAGCAAGATATTGCAAGTAGATAAATAGGTACCACTTCGGTGGGAAGGTAACACCGCTCCGTGCGCCTCGGTGTTTAGTCATGCCGGCCACATGACCACGGAGACGTTCTCGGACAGTGCTGGCTCTTCGGCTTGGAAATGGAGATGAGCACCGCATCCCTAGAGTCAGATTCAACTGGCTTTTGAGCAAGGGAAACCTTTACCTTTTTAAACCAGTAATGGTTCAGGAACAGATTAAGTCTATTTCAGAAACATATATAATACTAAAGAAAACCCAATTTGGGTTGTTAGCCGTGTTAATCTGTAGCATTTTAGATAATTTCTATGTTTAGGCAATTTTAAATAATTTAAGTTTACAGTGGCTCATAAATAGTAGGTGGAACACTGTTTTGTGGCCTGCGCTTCAATCTCCCACTCTTGCGGAGAATCAGGATTGAAACTGGTTATTGAAATAGTGTCAAAAGGAGTATTTTGGCTATCAGCCTTCTTTTGCCTTCTGTCCACCCTTCAACTCACCTCTGTTTTCCCGCCTGGCACAGGAGGGGGCAAGAGCTTATGCTACCAGCTGCCGGCCTGCGTCTCCCCGGGAGTCACCATCGTGATCTCCCCCTTGAGGTCTCTGATAGTGGACCAAGTTCAGAAGCTGACGTCAATGGATGTGAGTCCAAGGCCCGTACTGGGCTGTTTTCTCTTTTGCCCCTGGATACCTGACTCTGGTGGGCACGACCAATTCCACTCTTTGGCAATTTGTCTTCATAACGATGTGCAACTTCTGCTAATTAAAAATGTGTTCGGGCACCACACGTTTGGCATCAAGTTAAGCCAAAGAGTGAACCTGACTTTGGGAACTGAGGCTGAAAATCAGAAATCGCTTCCGTCAGTCGTGCTGGGAGTGCCCCTTGGTCACCTCCCAGGCCATGGGCTGGGCTAGGTGTTTCCTGGTCTCTCATTGGTGAGTTTAGATACATGCTACCACGGGGAGAGCGGCGGGGGGAGCAGATGTTGTGCTGCATCAGGAAGAGAGCTGAAGAATATAGCACCACCTGTCATGGGAGGCTTGGGGCTACATTGGCATGCAAAATGAATGGGTATCCTTTATTAAATACGACTATACTTACTGAACGCTCCGTTTGCTGTGGATCGTACATGACTCTTTTTCTGCATTGTAGATTCCGGCTACTTATCTGACGGGTGATAAGACAGATGCCGAGGCATCCAGAATTTACATGCAGCTCTCAAAGAAAGATCCCATCATAAAACTTCTCTACGTCACCCCAGAGAAGGTATGTATGAATAGGGCTGAAAAGCCGCCCAATTAAGGATGCTAGCGACCAAGCTTACATTCTGGGTGGTTGAGGGTAAGTGAGATGAGAACTGCAGAGAACTTTCTGTAGTCCCAAGGGTGCCCTACGCATAACGATGTGTATGTCACGTGCTAATAGGCAGTGAGAACCTGTAAAGGTTTCTACCCTCTGTCTCCCCTAGGTCTGCCTGAGTGGCCGCCTGATGTCCATCCTGGAGAATCTGTTCGAGCGGCACCTCTTGGCCCGCTTTGTGATTGACGAGGCGCACTGTGTCAGCCAGGTGAGGCTCATTGTCTGATTGAAAACGTCACAGACGGCTGTGTCAGTCAAACTCCTGCATTTAGTTATGGGTGAACGCCGCCTTCTTTACTCCATAAGCCATTCAATAGTGGAGTTCACTGCCAACAAATGTACTGACAGCCACCAGTACATGTGGCTCTAAAAGTGGGTTAGGCAGATTCATGGAGGAGAGATTTATCAATGGCTCCTAGCCATGGTTAGTAAGGGGGGAGCCTCTGTATTCAGGGGCAGCCAACCTCTTAAACTCCATTTTAGGAGGAAACGGGTTATTCACTTGGCTTCTGTGCCTTGTAGTTGGCCCTCCAGGGCAAATGGTTAGCCACGGTGTGAAACAGGATGCCGGACGAGACAGACCCACGGTGGCCTGACCCAGCAGGGCTCTTCTGATGCTCTTGTGCCTCTTGTGTGTTGTCTCCTGACCAGTGGGGCCATGACTTTCGCCCAGACTACAAGCGGCTGAATATGCTTCGCAAGAAGTTCTCCTCCGTTCCCATGATGGGGCTGACGGCCACGGCCAATCCGAGGGTGCAGAAGGACATCCTCAATCAACTGGAGATGCATCGGCCACAAGTGTAAGTTTGATCTGATCACGATGGAGGCGAATCTCTTCTGTGGAAGATTTGGAGAAAGGAGGGGGCGATTTCAGGTCCTCGTGACTTTCTCTTTCCGTGTTGCTTCAGAATGGCTGTATTCATATTCTTAAATTTGCTGCATTTCTAAAAAATTGACTTCTGAATTTTTCTAGGTTTAGCATGAGCTTCAACAGGCACAACTTGAAATATGATGTTCTGCCCAAGAAGCCAAAAAGCGTTGCTTTGGACTGTTTGCAGTGGATCAGTAAATATCACCCACGTGAGTCAACTCCCCCCCGTCTCCCCCAGTTGTGTTTAGCCAGGTAAAATGAATGTTTAAATCCACGTTTCAGTAAAGCGAGGAACTTGCAGGTCAGAAGATGCTGATTTTTTTGGCAGGTTGCCTCACTGAGGGTGCCTGAGGGATTACCGCACTGGAAAACGGCGGCGTGCATGCACGCTCCGTGGCAATAAACAGCGCTTAATCAGCAAGCTAGTTGCCAACTCTAAGGGCCCATTCTGGAGCCTAACTCTAAATAAAACAAACACAAGGTGCAATTTATGCCTGCACACATCGGTTGCTGCCTCTGAGAGACTTTGTTGGAGGTAGGCCTTTATCAGAGGAAGCAATACCCGCGTCCTAATGGGGGGGGTCTGTCTCTTCAGATGATTCTGGAATAATCTACTGCCTCTCGCGGTACGAATGTGACTCGGTTGCCAGCGTTTTGCAGAGGGCAGGCGTGCTGGCGCTTGCGTATCACGCCGGTCTCCCCGACAACACCAGGGATCTCGTGCAGAAGAAGTGGATTAATCAGGATGGATGCCAGGTAAAAGGCTTAAAGACTTACCGAGATCACAGAGCAAAGGTAAACACCTTCATTGCGCCCGGCCCGAAAAGGAAGCAAGAGGCGCAAAAGGAGCTGGGGTCGTTCTAAATGCGAACCATCAGCCGTGTAATATGTTGGCTCTGCAGAATGGCCAGGGAGTCACTGATGGGGAAACCTCCGGTTAGCACCCGATGCCCTGAGCGTGTCGCCAACATAGCTTAGCTTAGACGTGACATAAAAGCCAGGAATGGAGAAGAGCTGCCAAGGCTGGGAGGGGAAGTAAGTGGCCTTGGGTTCCGCAAAAGGGAAAGGTGGCGAATGAATGTTTTAAATAAATAAATATAGTAAGTACCTGTGTGGCTGAGAAGCCACCAAGTCAGCAGCGTTTGGGCCAGTTGTGGCAAAAGGTGACAGCCCCTGGACCTCCTCCGTATGCTGCTCCTGCTGCCGCTGCTTCTTCCTCCTCTTTGCCGTGAAGACAGCACAGGAGCCATGTGGGCTTTGTGATACACGGTGTGACGGTGACACCTTTCTTGGCTCCTCTTGTGTTGAGGCCACCCTCTTGCGTTCCCCTCTAGGTGATCTGTGCCACCATTGCTTTCGGCATGGGGATCGACAAGCCGGACGTGCGCTTCGTGATCCACGCTTCTCTCCCAAAGTCCATTGAGGGCTACTACCAGGAGTCGGGCCGCGCTGGGCGGGATGGCGAAATGTCCCACTGCGTCCTTTTCTACAGCTACAGTGACGTCTCCAGACTGAGGAGGCTCATTCTGAGTAAGTGCCTGGATTTTAGAGGGAGGGCCAAGCACTTGTAAGGGCCAAGACGGAGTCAGTTATGACGGTACGATCAGCTGTAATGAGCTCTACGTGGGCCTGCCCTTGAAGCCTGCTCAGACACTCCGCTAGTGCAGAATGTGGCCATTTGGTTGCCTTACGGGAGTGAAGCACTGTGAGCACGTCGTGCTGTTTCCCTTTAAAACCTTAATCCCACGGGAAACGAAAATGTTGTTATGAGATTGGAGACTGGTTCCTAGAGAATGATGTAAACAAGGAATTGCAAGGACGATTCTTGAGAAAGAAGGCTGGAAATGGCCGATACATCCGGGAAGCCGTTGAATCGTTTCTCTTGCAGTGACGGGATTTCAGACTGCCTCTTTACAACAGTATCTTGAATACACATCCTGGTTTGCTGCTTTGCACATAGCTAGACACCTGCAAGACTTCCAGATTATAGTCTTTGGACTAGCCTTTGTTAAATGATTGTGCCTAGTGCATCAGATTTGTATGTATTCCATGTGATTTTTGAAATGACTTATATTGTAGTACATTTATGATATTATTTTGTTACTATTTTGATTTTGCAGTTATAGTATATATTAAGTTATATTATTTTTCATATTTTCCCTGTATACACGGTGGTTTCTTCCCTTTGTACCTTTTCCACCGCGATTCCTGTTTTGGTTGCTGTCCCCTTTAAAACTCTGCATGGTCTGTGGGCCACCTCTCTCTATGTGAACAGAGTTTCAAGTGCGCTCTGTGCACGAGGGAAAGGACGTGAGTTTATGCCTGCTGCAGCTGTTGGGTTCCTCCCGTTTTGTGCAGGCTTGCATATTACTGGCGTGAAACCATCCTGCCCTATAACCTCCCACCCCACACACCCTGTTCCACGGCAAGTCAAGGGGCCCTGTTCTTTGCATTTCAGTGGAAAAAGATCGCAACAGACATTCTCAGCAGACTCATTTCAACAACCTCTACAGCATGGTCCACTACTGCGAGAATGTCGTGGAGTGCCGGAGGCTGCAGCTGTTGGCCTACTTTGGGGAAACGGACTTCAATTCGAAGTACTGCAAGGAACATCCCGAAGTCAGTTGCGACAACTGCTGCAAAAAACAGGTAAGCGCGTTCCGATTCACGTTTTCTGAAATGCAGGGCTTTAGAGCCCTTGTAATGTGTTTCTTATAGTGGCTGGTCGGGCATGACTGTGGATTGAATGAAAGAAATCTGACTTTCAGGTGATGTCTTTCAAATCTTCCGGAACATATTCCTAGTAAGTTTTCAGAGGGGAGCCATGTTGGTCTGCAGTAGTACAGCCCGACTCGAGTCCAGTGACCCCCGAGAGAACAGCAAGACCACCAGCTCCCGTCATCAGAACGCTCCTGCCCCAAAATCTCATTGACCTCTAAGGGGCTCCTGGACTCTGATCGACCTGATATTCCTCACAAGTCAATCAGAGGGTGCTTGTAAATTCCAGATTTGAGTAGAGTCATTCATTTCATTTGCCTGTCTTGTATCTCGTGTGTTGTCCTTCAAAAAAAATCAGTGAAGGGTAAGAAAAATACTCCTTCTTTGTGAATCAAGGACTGCAGCCAGATGTTGCCAGTCGTCTGGTGTCGTATAGCAAACCCACTTTGCTCATCAGGGTTATTTTTATTAGGATTATAAATTGAAGAACGTGACTGAAGAAGTCAAGAACATCATTAGGTTTGTTCGAGACCACTGTGGCGAAACGGGAGCGAGAAGTATGAAGAGAAATGCAAGATACACGTTGAATATGATGATTGAGATTTTCTTGGGTAAGTTCTGATGTATGCGTTGCTGATGAGGCGTCGTATTTATCACAGAACGCTAGTAGAGGCTTTCCCTCTGAGAGCCGGCCATGACGGTCATGGTCTTCCACGTGCCGTGCCTGAATCCCTTTCGTGGTCGGCACAAGTGGAGGAAGACCTCACTGTTGGCCTGTCTCCAGCATGATTGCGTCCTGCTGCCACAGCAAAGATCATTCCAGATTGTTTCATAACTCAGAAAGGATTTCTTTTGGGACTCCCATCTCTATCTCATCAATATGTTTTTATTTTATCTACTGGAAAACGTAGTCGCCAAAGCAGGGGATTTAAAGAAAGCAACAAGAGCTGTTGCCTGCTCTCGGTCCCGGGCATTGTGTATATTTCTTTGGGTTGCTGACCTCCTTCGCCCGAAAGTCCCCAGGGGGTGGGGTTTGCAGTAGAGCAGCACAGAAAGTGGTCCTAATGGTTCCAGAATACCTGACAAACATTATGTCTGGCTTCTGATTTTAGAAAGGTGGGCGTAGGAAGAACTAGCCTGGGGTCTTCATTTTCTATATACTACTACTTTGGAAGGTGGTGAAGATAGCGATCCGGGTCTCTGGGCCGTTTTCCTTTCTCTGTCTTTATCGAGAAGACGTATTAACTGTTTCTGGATAGGTACAAAAAGTGCCAAGATTCAATCGGGCATATTTGGAAAAGGAGCGGCTTACTCTCGCCATAATGCTGAGCGGCTGTTCAGAAAGCTGGTCCTAGACAAGATTCTGGATGAAGAGCTGTTTATCACGGCCAACGACCAAGCTGTCGCCTATGTCCAGACGGGGGAGAGAGCACAGGTGGTGCTGAATGGCTCTTTGCAGGTATGCCTGCCCCCCCTCTAAGCTACTGACTCCTCTCCGGTACGGGTCATGAGTTTGCAGCTACAGAGTCTAGGGTAGGGAAAAACTTAATTAGAAAATGCTTTGTAGAGGGAAGGGGTGTGTGTGCCCCCTGCTAGGTAGCCGCCTGACTCCACTCCCTTTTGCTTCCCTGGTCACACCTTTAAGCTCTGGAAGAAGCATTGGGTGATTACTCTTTGTTTGCTGTGGGCTGTTCAGGGATGGAGAAGAAGAGATTGGATTTAAACCCCTGCCCATCACTACCTTAAGGAGTCTCAGAGGGGCTTACAATCTCCTTCCCCTTCCCCTTCCCCTCCCCACAACAGTCACCCTGTGAGGTAGGTGGGGCCGAGAGAGCTCTTGAGAGGATGGCCCTTGAGAGAACAGCCCTGAGAGAACTTGTGACTGGCCCAAGGTCACCCAGCTGGTTGCATATGCAGGAGTGGGGAATCAAACCCGGTTCTCCAGTTTAGAGTCTGCCGCTCCTAACCACTACACCAAACTGGCTCTCCTTTGCCTTTGTCCAGGTGGAGTTCTGTGAAACAGACAGCGCCAGCAGCATTCGCAGGCAGCGGGTTTCAGCGGCCAACATTTCCAAGCGGGAAGAGATGGTTAAGAAATGCCTCTCGGAGCTCACCAACGTTTGCAAAAACCTTGGGAAACTGTTTGATGTCCATTACTTCAACATTTTCAGCACTGCTACCCTTAAAAGAATAGCAGGTAATATTAATTCCCCGGTGAAACTGCGTGGCGGGGGTTGCTGTCTTAGCAAGGACGGCATTTTGGGCTCCAACGTGAGCGCTTTTGCCACAATAAACACGTAGGAAGCTCCCAAGATGCTGTGTTTGTTGTAGATGCTCTCTTCCTTTGTATTTGTAATATAGAACCTTGATATATTACATGTGGGGACCCGCGAGAAACTTGCAGGGGAGGGGAATCCTGTTGGTAATAGCACCCAGTTGCCGGCCCATCTGCTTGCTCACTTGCCAGCCCCCCTCCACCATTGTGCCCGCCCACCCA